TCAGGGAAATACAAATCAAAATGACTCTGAGATTCCATCTTATACCATCAGAATGGCTAAGATCAAAAACTCAAGTGACAATACATGCTGGAGAGGATGCGAAGAAAGGGGAACCATCCTCCACTGCTGGTGGGAATGTAAACTTGTACAACCACTCTGGAAATCAATCTGGTGCTTTCTCAGAAAATTAGGAATAGTGGTACCTCAAGATCCAGCTTACCAATCCTGGGCATATATCTGAAAGATGCTTCACCATACAACAAGGACATTTGTTCAGCTCTGTACATAGAAAGCAGCTTTATTTGTAATAACCAGAATCTGGAAACAACCTAGATGTTCCTCAACCAAGGAATGGATTCAGAAATTGTGGTACATTTACATAATGGAATACTACTCAGCTATTTAAAAGAACAAAATCATGACATTTGCAGGCAAATGGATGGAACTAGAAAAGATCATCCCTAGTGAGGTAATTCAGAAGCAGAAAGACATGATATATATACTCACTTGTAAGCAGATATTAGCAATATAATATAGGATAACCATACTAAAATCTGTAGATCTAGAGGAGGTAAACAATAAGAAAGACACTAGGAAGGATGCTTAAATCTCATACAGAAGGGCAAACAGAATAGACACTGGAAACAGTTGAAGAAGGGGGACAGGATGGGAGCCTACCCCAGATGTCCTCTGAAAGAATCCATTCCAAAGCAAATGGAAGTAGATGCAGAGATTCACAGCCCAACTTTGGGCAGAGTGCAGGGAGTTTTATAGAAGAAGGGGGTGCAGATAGAAGGACTCAGAAGGGACAGGGATTCCACAAGGAAACCAACAAAGCCAAAAATCTGCACCCAGGGAGGACTGCAGAGACTAATGCATCAACCAAGGACCAAGCATGGAGAGGACCTAGACTCTCTGCTCAAATGTAGCCTACAGGCAGCTCAGTCTCCAAGTGAGTTCCCTAATAAGGGTAACAGGGGCAGTCTCTGACATGAGCTAGCTTACCTGCTCTTTGATAATGTCCCCATGTCAGGGTGTCCTTACCAGGCCACAGAGGAAGAGGATCCAGGCAGTCCTGATGAGAGCTGATAGGCTAGGGTCAGATAGTAGAGGAGGAGGACTCCCCTTTTCAGTACACTTGGGAAGAGAAATGGGGCATAGGAAGAGGGAGGGAGGGTGGGACTGTGAGATAATGAGGGAGAGGGCTACAACTGGGATACAAAGTGAATAAATTGTAAAAAAAAATTTAAAAATCTCAAGTGACATTACATGCTGGTGAGGATATGGAGAAAGGGAACACTTCTGCATTGCTGCGGTTGGTGCAATCAACCAACAGATCCAAATAACCTGGGCCCAAGGGGGCCTGCAGAGACTGAAGCACCCATCAAGGACCATGCATGAACTGGATCTAGGTCCCCTACACATATACACTTGATGGGCAACGTGGTCTTCTTGCGGATTCCGTAGTAAGGAAAGGGGGACTATTTTTTACATGGACTTTGTTGTCTGCTTTTTTGGCCACTTCCTCCTGTTGGGGGTGCCTTGTCAAGCCATTTTTGTAGGAGACATGAAGTGCTGGGGTACGTTAGGTGGGTGGGTGGAGCTTTCCTGAGAGATGGGGGATGGGGAGAGGGTGGGAGGAGAGGGCCAGGAGGGGAGGAAGATGGGGACTATGATTGTGATGTAAAGTGAACAACTAAATAAATAAAATTAAAAGTTAAAAATAAAACACACAGCCCTAAAATGGACATCTATTTAACATTCCACCCTGCAGGAGAGACAGGAGGAAGATTATGAGATCCATTTGTAGTTGCACTTGGCAACTACAAATATGCAATATTTTCTGGATACAGTAGGGCATTTACCCATATAAACTTATTACAAGAGTTGTTCCTAACCTTCCTAATGCTGAAACCCTTTAATACAATTCCTCGTGTTGTGGTGACCCCCAACTCTAAAATTAATTTTGTTGCTACTTCATTACTGCAATTGTACTACTGTTGTGAAAGATAATCTAAATATCTGTGTTCTCCAAGGGTTTTAGGTAGACCCTGAGACAGGCTGCTTGACCTCCGAGGGGTCATGACTCATGGGTTGAGCATCTCTTTTATAGATATTGTAACAGCGTGCACCAGACCTGTACAAGCTCAATCCAGACAAAAATCTCAACAGGCAAGGGGAGGTGGGCAGGTTATCCCAGCCCTGTTTGAGAAGCTATTGGCAAGTGATAGTGGCTTAGAGAAGGACAGTCATTTTTCTTTAATGGTTGGGTCTTTGTTAAGTCAACCACACTCCAGTGGAAGTCCATATGTGCTAGGACATATGGGAAGCATAAATTGGACTTGATAGATTTGTGTTGTTGCTGTTCTTTTCATTTTAAAATTAAAAAATAATAGGATACAAAGTTGGGTGGATAAGAAGAGGGCATGGATGTGGGAGGAGTTATTGCAGGAAGCACATTGTTCAAAAATCCTCAAAGAACTAGTTTTTTAACTGCAAAATTAAAACAATTAAACCTAAAATATGCTTAAACATCAACTTTAAATGACTAGCAGGGGTTTTGGGGGGCGAATATTTCAAATACTTGATGGAAGTCTTAAGCACTGTTCATTTAGCAAGCATGTAAAATCAGACTTAGGCATCAATTTTTAAACCTTTGAAAGGTCATATTTCTCCCCTTTCACTAAGAAAATGTACCCTACTTACAGAGTATGAATATATGAGGAGCTTTGATATTGGAATCCCCTGAAAAATGCAATTAAGTGCCAAGTTTAGACAAATTATTCTCAAGTCCCCCGCCTCCTGGCAAGAGTTTTGAGACATACCCACCGCAGAGAGCAGGTGTGTGTGTGCTCAAAAACCATTTACCTGGGAACAGTATGATCCTGATGTCTGCTGCTTCTTTGCTTCCTTGTCGAACATGGCTGTGTTTGCCTCACCTTGGACCTTACCCTTGTAATTTCCTGTCTAGTTTTTAGCCCCAGGTAAGCAGTATATGAGTACAAAGTTCTTGGATAGGCCCCACGAGCTTCTTGCTGCCAGTTTTTCATAGTGACTCCTGTCCAGACAGTTCACAGCTGGGCTGGGTGCCTACTGGAGGCCATGAATCTTGAAGCAGGATCAGGGATAGAGGGCCAGCTACCCGACTGGGCTCATTTCTGCAGCAGCAATGATAATTGGAAGCCTCAAACAAGGTCAGAGTCTTTGAAGTTTCTCTCTGTTCTTTCCACTCCTGTGTTGTTAATTTTTGTCATCCAGGTACATTTCTGTTCACCTTTTAGGTACTGTGACCTCTGAACTATCCACTATAGAAACTACATGCTTCTATGCCCTCATTTTCACTTTAACTAAAACCTATTCACACCAGTGTGTTAATTTCCTGATTTTTTAACATACTTAAGCATTTTACCTCTAACTGATGAAGGACTTTCTCTCCACCAGTGGCAATGAGTTAACAACAACAAAAGTGTCAGGTTTAACAAAACAACAGTCAAATGTGTTAGTTATTAATTAGCTATTATTAAACAGCTAACACTTCTTTAGTATCTGATATATTCTGGACTCTCTTTAAGCTCTCTTAACATCCATTAGCACATCTCATTCTCACTAGCAATCCTAAGAAACAGGTGCTTTTCATTGTCCTTATTTTGCAAATGATGACACTAAGTCCCCCAGTGACAAAGCATCACTCCTAGGCTTTGTAAGACCATAAATAGGTTAAAATATGTGAAAGCATCAATATCCCACTTTAGGAGAGATTTTGTGGGGGAAATTGGCTGCATAAATGCAATATACAGTGATGACCTGATTCCCCAACAACAAATGATAGCAAGGAAATGTGACAAGATTTCAATTGATCATATTTATTTGCACTAATAGAATAAGGAAATCTCTGCTTCTCTTACCAAATTCCCCTCATTAGCATTGTGAAGTCATCTCTCAGATAACCTTGGAGCAGGATTTAAGAGCTCTCTCTACAGCTATTAATGGGCTACAGGTATGGCCTTCAACATTTTTATTTAAATTCTCAGAGCTTTGTTTTTCTTACATGTAAATCAAGGCAGAAAATTCATATTTTTAAAGGTTTATTTGTCCTTTGTGATAATGTTGCCATGTAAGAAACATTCACAACCATGTTTACATCTTTTCACGATGGCAGAATTTATTAAATAACGGATTCTCAAGACAGAGCGAGGTTCAACTTTCCAAGTAGTTTTGCTTTCTTTGAAAACACTGGCCCAGGAAAATACATACTCTTTTTATTCCAATCTTAACTATTAATACTAACTCTCTGATCATACATTACATATCATGCATTAAATCTCTATCTATCTATGATCCATTTATATCTATGTATCATCTATCTTTAGCTAGCTAATCTACATATCATCTATCTATCTAACTCTATCTATCTATCTATCTGTCTGTCTATCTATCTATCTATCTATCTATCTATCTATCTATCTATCTATCTACCTATCTATCTATCTAGAATGTTACAGCATGGCATGGACTGAATGTAGATTAAGGAGTGAAGTTTCAGAGAGGCCTGAATGGTGAAAGCTTTTAAAATGATGAGGATGCACGGTTTTCAGCACTGATGACAAATAGCTGAGTGGGAAATCACTGACATATCTGATGTGGCTGTTGGCCTCAGAGTTAAGCTACTATGGTTGCTGCGGCAGCATGGATTGGAGCAGGGCTTCTGGGTGGAGTCCAACTGCAAAGGAAAAAGGGTAGCGCTGACTGGGTCCAGAAGAGCAAATCAGCAAAGAATAAACGACAGGTCCTGATGGATGTGTAAGACAGTGGGCAGATGGCAAATCATTTAGGACACATTAATAGTGAGGCTCAGGCTGAGCTGAAGGCTATGGAAAATGCAGGGGTTTTCTGCCTGTTGGTCCTTGATACATGCCTAGAGTGACTGGCTGAAAAGTCAGTGGGGGCTGTCACTATTATAATATGAGTTTCTGCCTCTCTGTGTGTTCTAGGAGAAGACATCTGTGCTCGTTATCTTTAGTCAACTTGATACAGACCAGAGTCACCTGGGAACAAGGTGTGTCAATTCAAGACTTATCTCGACCAGACTGGACTGTGGGTATGTCTGTGGGGCATTTTCTTGATCAATGATTGAACTAGGACATCCCAGCCCACTCTGAGTAGTGCCATCCCTGAGTAGGTGGTCCTAGTTTGTATAAGGTAGCAAGACGAGCAAACTGTGGAGAGCAAGTCAATAAGGAGGCTTCCTCTGGGGGCTCTTGTTTGCGTTCCTGTCCTGACCTCCCCCATTTATAGACTGTGACTGAGATGTGTAAGCCAAACAAATCTTACCTCTCCACGTTGCTTTGGGTCATGGTGTTTATCATTGCAACAAAAAGCAAACAAAGACAAAGTTGCAGCCTTTCCTCCATCTGTTGGCTCCAATAAGGCTTTGTGCCTGGTTTCTCTGATAGGATTTTAAAATGTTCATGTACCCTTATGGTCCCAATTTACTTCCGTGACTTCATATGTTGACAGATGGTGAAATTTACATGTCCAGCCTAAGCATAGTCCCTCTCCATTCTCATAATAGTCAAAAGCTGCTTGTAAAATGGAGTCTGTAAGAGCAAGAAGTCTGAGAACTCACTATTCTACACTCTATGGAGTAACTTGAGGACAAGGCAGAGTTGATCTTAATAGCTTTGTCTTTCCAGGCCCCACTCCTTGATCCCTTCCATCCATTAAACTCTTCTTTCTCTTCCCCCTTCCTACTATTTCCCCCTCTCTTTCTTTTTATTTCTTTCAAGGATAGGGTCTCTCTCTGTAGTCCAAGTTGGACTTGAACTCATGTGAATCCTACTGTTTTAGCCTAATGCTAGAATTATAGCCATGAGTAATTTTTTCAATTGTTAAAGATTTTTTTTTTCTGCTGCAATTGTCAGAGAATGATCTTGTTTTGGTTTTGTTGTTGATGTTTTTGAGGGAGTGTATGCTTTGTTACAATTATCAGCAACAGTTAAGAAGAGTACTTATTGCTATTGTAGAGGACATGGGTTCAGTTCCCAGCACCCACGCCAGGTGGTTAACAACAACCTCTAATTCCATTTCTAGGCAATATGACACATATTCTGTTCTCTAAGGGCAACTGAACATATGCAGTACAAGTGAACTTAATCAGGCCTACACTCATGTGTACATTAGATTGATTAGATACATAGAAGCGTAGATACATACATAAACAGATATAAATAGATAATGATGGTGATAATAAAGATAGATAAATAGATAATAGAAAACATTTTATAGATTGCTTCTTAAAAAGCACTAGCTTTTTTTAAGAGTAGAAGAAGACTAATCCTAATGTCTGTGTCCACTCTTTCTTTTCATGTCCTTATACCAACTTCTGAGTCTTGAGCCATCTTGACCAGCCATTTATTACACTGCCTCTGATTCTGTTCTGGAAATAGTAGTATGCTACTAATATGCATGGACACTGGGATCCCATGGAAGGGGTCAATGATTTCCAAGTCAGCAGCAGAGAAGTAGCAGCCATTGGAAAGGAGAAGTGGGCTCTGAAGTAGACATGATAGATAAAACTTCAGATACTAAGTGGAAGACGTAGACAATGGCAAGTGAAGGGGAACAACAAATTCACTCTGGAAAGACACATTCCAAGGGTGCAGTTCTAACATCAAAGTTCACTGCACCCTGAATGAGGATCAGGGCAAATCCTAGTGAGGCTGAGGAGCGATCAGAATCAGAAAGCAAGGAGACACATGAGGAACCACATGGGGAAACTACAACTTAGGACACTATGCTTGGGCAGTGCCACTGCCTGGACAAGAGCCAGAAGATCCAGGCTTCAATCTTGCTTATAGGTGAGATTCTGAACTTCAAGAAAATCAAGGTCTTTCTGGACCTAATATAGCGGAGTGAATGATTCTTATTTCGGATATCTTATACGAGAGATTGTTGATCTCATCAACATTTAGAGTCCCATGCTCTTCAATTTACTCTGATTAATCATAGGAGAAAGCAGCAGCATTTGATTTGTGAGGGATACAGATGCTCATTTTATGCTTGCCAGCTTTTCTGAGTGGTGGGGAAATGGTACTGCATCTCCTGCTGCACACCGCTTTCTTCCTTAGAAAAATGAGGCCATGACATGTGGGCAACTAATTATGACAGTTTCCTTGAATATTCTGCAAAGCAAAGGCTAAATTAGTGTTTGTAATACAACAGCCAAATTCACTTAGAGGCCAGCAGGAACCTGATAAAAATGACAGCTGTTGTAGGTGAAGAATTCTTAGTTTACCTGCTGGGTTGTACATAGCCCATCCAAGTGTCTTATGTGGACTGCCTGGGAATGTGATTGGAGCTTCTAAGGCACTCTCTGTGTGTGTGTCTCTCTCTGTCTCTCTCTCTCTCTCACACACACACACACACACATTTTTCTTTCTTTTCAAAGTCTACTAAATTTAATGAAATTTACAATTACTTATCATATAGGGACTGTTACACTATTCTTTTTGCTTTCTCTCCCCCACCCCATGTCTATCCTTTTTTTTTTTTTTTTAGTACTGCAAATTATGGTCTGTAGATCTATCTAGACAACATACACATTCTTTGTTTTCCTGTCTCAATTACTGAATGAGATCTGAATGAAATTACAACTTCTCTGCTTTTACGGTCAAGTTGTAAAACATTACTTCATGGCTTAATTTCTTGACATAATCTGAACTCCACAGTCTTTCATCATCTGCTTTAACCATGGTAGATGTAATTAGGCTCACTACCATGATCATGCTCTTTTCAACTTCTTGTTTTTGAGACATTGTCATACTTTTTACCTCAGGCTGTTCTTCACCTGGTGGTAATTATCCGGCCTCAGGCTCCCAAGTGCTGACAGGCATACTCGACTTCTTTTACTAAGTAAGTAAGTGAATAAATAAATAAATAAATAGATAGATAGATATATAAGTTGATGCTGTTTTGAGCACAGACATTTTAAGTTTAGTAGATGGTACTTGCTATTAATATTGAAGGCATTAATACTGTGTTAATTTAAATTGTATGAATTTAACTTCAGGGTAAATATGTCATAATGGTAGCATTTAAAAAAATACAAATAACATTATATAGCCTGTGAAGGTTATGTTTAGGAACATTATATACATATATGCATGTGCAATAATTAATGAAAAAAGAGGTCAAGCATTTGAAAGATAACGAGAAAGGCTACATGGGAGAGTTTGGAGGAAAGGAGCACATTATGTAATTGTATTACAATCCCCAAAAGAATGCTCCCTCAAAAAAAAAAAAGACTCTGTATCCAGTCTCACAGTCACAAAACTATTATGTACAGCACTTTAATCAATAAAAACTTAGATAATTAAAAAAGCCCAATTATAGAGTAATAAGGGAAACATTTTATTTTTCTCAAGTAATAAGGTTTATAACAGCATTCTTTTTATTGTCTTCTCTCTCTCTCTCTGTTTCTCTCTCTGTCTCTCTCTGTATGTGTGTTTGTGCACTGTTCTAGGAACCTGCATATACCAGACAAGAGCTGTACCACAGAGCTACATCTTCAGTCCTCTTTTAATTTTTATTTTGTGTTTGCTTTGTTCTTTGAGACAAAACTTCACATATCCCAGGGTGACCTCGAACTAGCTTTAATTTTTTGAAGAGGAGTATAGTCTTGAACTCCTGATCCTCTTCCTTGTGTCCACTTTGCAAGAGTATAATTGAGTACCACAACACTACCAGCATCTAACTAAGGTTAACAAAAAACAAAAACAAAAACAGAAACTTTGCAGGCATATTGTTGTTACCGAATTCTAGTTATTCCTGTCATGTTGCATAAATATTCTCCTAAGATTTCCACTGGCATGCACCAGCATTGCCACCTTTGTAGTTTAGGCAGCCATTCTTATCAACAATATTACAAGGACTTACTGGTCTGCTGGACTCCATGTTTTGTGCACCAAAAAACCAACCTTTACCTAGTTTCACTGTTACTACCTTCATCATCACAGCTGCAACAGCTTGAAATTGTATGTATATATTACATACACACATATATGTAAACATAAATATAAATATATTATCTAGTTTTGTTAAGATACAAATGTCTTAAGTGTTAAGCCTCTTGAAAATTGGATCACATCTTTCTGGTCCCTTGCTTCATTTTTTCTTTATTATCACGGAAGTTTCATTCTGATTTATTTACTACTCACTTCATGGTTAATTTCACAGTAGTAAAGTAACAGGTTTGTTACTATCTCAACCTCTTGACATTGGTTTGGTTTGCCGTGTACCCTAACATGTGGTCAGCTTGGTAATGTTCTGTACCACTTGAGAACATTATATGCCATACAGTTATAGCTCCAGTATCTCCCTGTACCAGTAACCAGTTTGTTATTAGAGTTATCAGTTATTTTCTATATGTTCAAGACAGTTCTCATCTACTTCTGCATTAGATACTAAGAGGTGTGTTAAAATATTCAACTGTGGAGCTCCTGTCCCCTCCAGGTCTGTCTCCCCCTTCTTCCTTAAGATTCCCTGCACTCTGCCAAAGTTTGGCTATGAGCCTCAGCATCTGCTTGATACCCTGCTGGGTAGAATCTTTCAGAGACCCTCTGTGGTAAGCTCCTGTCCTGTTCCTTGTCTTCTCTCACTTCCAATGTTTATCCTGTTTGCACTTCTGAGTGAGGATTAAGCATCTTCCCCAGGATCCTCCTTCTTATTAAGTTTCTTTAGGAGTTTAGATATTAGTATGTTTATCCTGTATTATATGGCTAATATCTACTTACAAGTGAGTATATACTTTGTGCGTCTTTCTGCTTCTGGATTACCTCACTCAAGGTGATGTATTCTATTTCCGTCCATTTGCCTGCAAATTTCATAATTTCCTTGTTTTTAATAGCTTAATAGTATTCCATTGTGTAAACGTACTGTAATTTCTGTATCCATTCCTCAGTTGAGGGACATCTAAGATTCTGGACTCAGGGGACCCTGCAGAGACTGATGAATCAACCAAGGACCACACATGGAGAAGACAGAGACCCCCTGCTCAGATGTAGCCATGGGCAGTTCAGTCTCCATGGCGGTTCTCTAATAAGGGAACAGGGGCAGTCTCTAGCATTAACTCGATTGCCTGCTGTTTGATCAATCCCCCTTGAAAGGTGGCTGTCGGGAGCCGCTCCCGCCATTACAAGATGGCGCCGGCTTCCTGCTTCCTGGTTCTTCTTGCCAGCATTTTCGCGCTTCTTGTCAGCATTGCTTCGCGATTTGCGCATGCGCAGCTTTATGTTGATGAGGGTTTAGGCTGCAATCCAATTGCCAGCCATATACTGATGAGGACTCGAGCAGAGCACCAATTACAGA